AGTATGTTTTTCTAGACTTCACACTACACCTGGCTAACCACATGTAGGCGAAGCAAAACAGAAATTTGCAAAATTTGTTATGTAAGCCATTGTAGTTGACGAAGTAATTTGCGGTATTTTCCGCAATTTCATCACTGCCATGACATAAATAAAAACTGTACCGGCGATGATAATAGAAATTATACAATTTCGAAATTAGCTACAGTTTAAGTTACTGGAGATGTTTGTTGCTGTTGTTGCGGTTGTTTTGTTTTGTTTCATTTTTTTTTTTTTTTTTTTTTCTTTCAAAAACTGCAGACTAAATGCTAGATATGTTAATTTCAGGTAAGTTGCAATTATTTTCTTAAAATAGAAAAATTGCTCATAACATGCATAATTTTTTTGTCCCTTTAAAATTTGGTAGACCAATCCAGAGTTAAAGTAGGAAAGAATTGTGCATTACTGCAACAACAAAAACTAATAATTCTACTTACATTCGATGTTCGCGTCGGGTTGGTATGCCGCGTTAAAGGAGTACCTGGGTATGAGAGCTGTAAAAATTATTACAGGTCGAAGCGTCCTTTCGTGTTATGATAAGAGACGATCCAAGTTTAGTGCGTTGAACTGTAAATCTACTAAAACCATGGGAGATTTTTTGACCTGGAACTAACTGGGGATGACATAACCCTCGAGCAAGATGAGCCACGTAGTGGAGTATAGCACTTTGCCCTCACTGCATGATTGCTTATATATATCATTTTAGTCGTCGACGTCGATATTTCGTTGTTACTTAGCAAATATCACAGATATAACGGTATTGGCGAGCTTGAGGTTGGAATTTGCCAGAACCGATGAAGGAAAGATCCCTAGGACATGATTGCAATCTGTTTAGCTGATAGTGTTTGGTATATTCTTGAATTTTACTCAAACTATTTTCCCCAAAAGCAAGACTTGAGTCATGGGCGTTGAGATATTGTCTACAGACCCCTTTATAACCCCTTAAACGTCACGTAATTTTTTAAGGTACACATTTTAACTAGGATAAGAATTGTTGGAGTCTAAACGCAGCCAAAAGATGTACGCAACTAATACTACTTATTTGTAAGGGCACAAATCAAAGCCTGGTTTTCACTAGCGACGTAAGCACAAGCGCAAGAACAAGCGCAAGTAATAGGGATGACCCAAGTGAAAACCAAATTCGACGCAGACACAAGCACAAGCAAAATCATCCGAACATTCCAAACTGTTTAGGCGCGAGGTTATCTGGATCCAGTGCTTTCACTGGCCAAACATACCCACGTGTGGTAAATATCCTTGAGTTTGTGTTATGCCTGAGTGGTATTTCGTTTTCACCTTTGCAGCGCAAACGTAAGCATAAGCGCAAGCACACGAAAATGGAAAACTTTTGATCCTTCTGCTTGTGCTTTCGCTTGTGCTTATGCCTACGTCAAGGCCGCTTTCATAGTGAAATAAAAATTATTGTGCTTGAGCTTGTGCTTGCGCCTGAGTCGCAAGTGGAAACCAGGCTTAACTAAGTTTGAGAGTGGGAACATAAATGAAATAGTTTTTTAAACCCGATTTTTAAAGTTCGGGCGTACAAGCGAGATGGATGCCAGCCTCCAGAGGTTTCCCAGAATTTTCAAAAGATTATTAAATCTGTGATGCTAAACTTCTCAGTAGCTGTTTATTTATTCCTCGCCGAAATTTTTGAGGATTTTGTGAAGAGTTTCTCTGCGTCATTTGCAACTACCATGGAAACCACACTTTGACATACAGGACAAACCAAATTTGGTATGTTTTGACAGAATTCGTCGTTTCTTTTTCATTTTTCTTTAGCACTGTGATTGCACAGCTAGTAATTTTGTTGCATGCAACTATCATTTTAAACCAATCTACGTTATTTATTGACTTTCTGAGGAAATGATAAAATCTAAGACGACGGATCCAAGATGGCGGACTGAAATACCTCACGTGATGCCACATGAGGTCACGAAGAACACATATTATCGCAGATTTCACAGATGGAAATCCGTGTATTATCTGATATGATATCTTATAAATGATGTAGTTCTATTTGGAGAACATAAGATGAACTGTAGGTAGTGCGCCCTAGGAAAATATTTCAGCTTTAGCTCTGTCTTTCTTTTCTCCTGATTACCACACATGCCGCCTTCATACAACGTAAGCATTTTTTTTTTCTAAATTCTTATGTTTTATCTCTTCCCGTGATGATAGTATTATAATTTTGTTTTATTTTTTATGAGAAATATGAGAAAATATGAGAACAAACTACACAATAATGATACCTCTATGCACAAATACAGTTACAAAAGTATTAGGATGGTGGCTTCTGAGCCATTTGCACCCTTTTTTAAAGCATATGCCTAGTGCATTTGCACAGTACGACAGAATACACTCCAGCCTCCAATTTTTGCTTTCGAAACCTGCTTCAGCCAAGTAAACTAACATTCATCGATATTTTGCTGGCATTTAGATGTTATGCTCGAGTGGACAATCCTTGGTTGTCGTATTTAAAAGATAAAAGTCCTTAGAACACCGCCTGAAAGTTTCCCTCGATAATGTTTAGCATAACAACATTGCGTATGAGCGTTTAGAAATCTCCAACGATGAAGAGCAGATCGGAGGATGAATATTGACGCATATTCTGCTCATCTAAGCGCCGATTGAAATAAAAAACTATTTGAATAAAGTTATCTAGCTGCTAAGAAAAAGGAACACCTCTAATACCTCAAAATTTTGGCCATAGTTGAAATGTTCAACAATTGCAAAGAAGAAATGAATTTGGCTTATAGAAATATGGATTGCAAGTTACAGCTAGATGAGGTAAATAACAGAACAGATAAAATCTGTTTATGTTTTGGTGTCAAGGAAATTAAAATTTCACTCGACGTTGCCTGGATTTTATTTATTATTCATGCCTTCATTAATAAAAGAGAGTTAAGGCTTTAGACAGTCTAACTTAGTTTTGAGTGCGTTTTACCACTTTTATGGCCTTTATAATAAGATAATTTGAACAGTTAGTTATGACAGCTCATATGTGGTGAATTTTAAAGATAAATACGTTGTTTAAAATGCAATCGGCTTTTAGATCCATGCGCAAAGTACGAATGAACTAGTTGAAGAGCTAGCTAGAGATTTTTTATTATTTGCTCAAGATCACCAAAGGATAACCAAAGAGTGCTCGGAACATAACTGAAGTAAAAACATCAAAGCTATCTGCCGCTTAACTACAAGGGAACCGGCCATCAACGCCGCTTCAAGGTTTACGATTAGACAGGTTTGCTTAAGAAGTATGTCTTTAAAGATATAGTCGTACCTTTGTGCGATCAAAGTGAAGCAACAAGACCTTTCTGATGATATAAGCGTTTACATAAATGCCATACGATCCACTCATATAAACTGTTAAATAACAGATCACCGACACTGATAAACATGTTCCCTAATTTCGATTAAATTAAATTCTTTTGTTTTGGATATTTTGACAAATGCAGTGTGACGGGGTACACAAGAAGATCTTGGAAAAGAAAATAATTAAGATCAATTCATAATGCTTTCAATCATACTTCACTATTTTTACGTAATTTGCAAAGTTTATACAAATTCTTAGTTCAATATAAACGTGTTGAACTGACTTTACATCAATTACCTTTTGTCGTGAAGTTTACAATTAAACAATTATACACCGCTCGCATAACTTGGTAACATAATTGATTTGGCCTTCGGTGACACATTGTTTATTATATTTTGTTTCTGCTCTGGTTATAAATATTTCAATAAAACAGAATTCCATTGCCTATTATTTTGCTTACAGAACATTGCAATGAGCGAGACAGTTACCGATAACAAAATGATGCACTTTCTAACAAGGAAAATCGGCTCGCTTTTCTTTTCTTTCTTTCTTGTTTTTTTTTTTTTTTTTTTTATTATTTTTTATTATTTTTATAATCTGAGTTTCGATGAGTTGATAGCTTTAAGTTGAGAGCTTTAAAATTAAGTTGGGTGAACCGTACAATTGAGATATTATCGACGTACGTTGCATAACCTCGCTTAAAGATTAATTTCAACCCATAGTTTAGTTTATCTCTTGTAAATCATAGCTCCTAGTGTCAATCAAAATATGTAAATGTACTTGTATTAAACGGTTTCGTAAATCCTTCTATAAGTAGTTGCATAATAATCTTATTTATGTATTGATGGTCTAATATAAATATAGATGTGGCCCACCTAGATTAGTCCAGGCTACCTGCGGGTTGGCGCTGCTGCTATTGTCAAGCTTTTTTAACTTAATGTGTATATTTCTCTGTAAAATTGTAAATATGCGAGTCATAATGATAAAAGTTGTTGTTGTTGTTGTTGTTGTTGTTGTTGCTGTTGCTGTTGTTGTTGTTGAAGGGACTCTGTCACGGCAGTTTTTGCCGCCTTTTTGGTCAAAACGTGCTAAAATTATGACTGATTACTTAAGACCGAGTTTACCAGAGGACCAGGCAGGGGTGATACATGCTATCTCTCCTTTTTGGATGAGACTTTGCCAGATTAAAGGTACTACCCAACAACTCTAAAAGACAAAGTGGG